GTGGTCCCCTTCCCCCAGATGGAAAGCAAATTTGGACCCATCCTTGCAGGCAGAGTCCAAATCGATGGGCCCCACACTCAGTAAGACTCCCCCGGCTTGGGCGTGCTTCACCGTCCTCGTTTCATTTTGTCTTGATTTTGGTTTGTGTATTTATCGGTCAGCCCCACTTAGCATCTGAATTCCAGGGAGGAGACCTGTAGTTTTTTTGTTTTTGTTTTTGTTTTTGTTTTTTGAGACAGAAAATTGCTCTTCTTGCCCAGGCTGGAATGCAGTGGTGCAATCTTGGCTCATTCTCCTGCCTCAGCCTCCCAAGTAGGTGGGATTATAGGCGTCTGCCACCATGCCTGGCTAATTTTTTGTATTTTAATAGAGACAGGGTTTCACCGTGTTGTCCAGGCTGGTCTGGAACTCCTGGGCTCAAGTGATCTGCCTGCCTCGGCCTCCCACAGTGCTGGAATTACAGGCATGAGCCACCGCGCCCAACCTACTGTGAAGCTTTTAATCAGATTTTGGAGTAGGGCAGTGAGAGGAGCTGGTTGGGTTTTTTTTCTTTAAAATTATTATTACTTTTTTTTTTTTTGAGACCGAGTCTCACTCTGTCACCCATGCTGGAGTTCAGTGGCACAATCTTGGCTCACTGCAACCTCCACCTCCCAGGTTCAAGCAATTCGTGTGCCTCAGCCTCCCAAGTAGCTGGGATTACAGGTGCATGCCCGGTTTGTATTTTTATTAGAGACAGGTTTTACCATGTTGGCCAGGCTGGTCTCGAACTCCTGACCTCAGTTGATCTGCCCATCTCATGGGATTACAGGGGTGAACTACCACTCCCAGCTGTTTTTTCTTTAAATTACATGTATTTATGTAAAAAAAAAAAAAAAAAAAAAAAAAAAGAGCATGACTCCATTTAAGCAATAACACATGTTAACGTGGCAAAAGAAGACCCACAAATGACTGACATTTCGGCCACACTGGCGGGGACTGTACGACTCCCTCCACTCTACGTAGGTGACCAATGGGAAGTCTTGTCTGTGCCTCATAAGTGTGTTCAGACACAGCCGGCCTTGCCATAATGCAGAGCACTCATCTGCTCAAGACACATTTGCTGAGCATCAACCAAGTGCCAGTTGTCAGCCCAGATTCCTTGTCCTGAAGGAGCTCCTACTTCTGGAAGGGTGGGATGAGCAGAGTCCATTATGCACTATGACATGGGTGGCACCAGGGTGCGATCCCAGAGTGCTTTGGGAGGGCCACGCAACCCAGCCTGGGGGCAGGGGAAGGGTGGTGGTCACTGGAACTGAGTCCTGAAGGCCTGGGAGGAATTAGCCAGCAGAGGAGGGAGCTGAGCAGGCAGAAGGTCAGCACATGCGCACAAGCTATTTTTCTGGTGTTGATGAGTATTTCCAGCTATTGTCATTTTCCCTTCGCCCGAAGGACTTCTACATTTCTTGTAGGGTAGATTTCTAGAGCAGCGGGGTGGAGATCTCAGCTCTACTGTTTGCTGGCTGTGTGACCTTGGGCCAGCCTCCGCTTCCATCTGTAAAATGGGTATAACTGGTGTGGCGTTTAAAGGAAATCATCTTAGTGAAGCACCCAGCACAGGGCCAGGACATAATAAGTTATCTAAATGAGCCAAGATTGCACCACTGCACTTCAGCCTGGTCAAGAAGAGCAAAACTCTGTCTCAAAACAAACAAACAAACAAACAAACAAACTACAGGTCTCCTCCCTGGAATTCAGATGCTAAGTGGGGCTAAGTGATAAATACACAAACCAAAATCAAGACAAAATGAAACGAGGACGGTGAAGCACGCCCAAGCCAGGGGAGTCTTACTGAGTGTGGAGCCCATCGATTTGGACTCTCCCTGCAAGGATGGGTCCAAGTGGTGATGAATTCTTCCTCTTCGGATGTCTGAAATATCTTTATTTCATCTTCGTTTGGGAAAGATATTTTTGCTGGGTACAGAATTCTAGATGGGCATTTTTTTATTTTACTGCTTAAAAGATGGCACTCCACAGTCTTCTCACTTGCATTGTTTCCAACAAGAAATCTAACATCTTATCTTCGTTTCTCTGTATATAAGTAGATAACATGTCTCTTTTTTGTCTGACTGTTTTATAAGATTTTCTCCTTGTCACTACTTTTGAGCAATTTAATTATGGTGTGCCTTAATACAGTTGTCTGTGTGTTTCTTGTGTTTGGTGTTCATTGGGATCTTGGATCTGTGGATTTATTGTTTTTATCAAGTTTAGAAAATTTTCAGTCACTATTTCTTCAAATGTATTTGTGTCTTCTCTCATCTCACTTTTTTTTTTTTCTAATTTTGAGACAGGGTCTTGCTCTGATGCTCAAGCTGGAGTGCAGTGGCACGAACACAGCTCACTGCAGTCTCAAACTCCCAGGCTCAAGTGGTCCTCCCACCTCAGTCTCCCAAGTAGCTGGGACCACAGGCTTGAGCAACCACATCTGGCTAATTTTTTAAATTTTTATAGAAACAAGGTCTTGCCGTGTTGCCTAGGCTGGTCTTGGACTCCTGGGCTTAAGTGACCCTCCTACCTCAGCCTCCCACAGTGCTAGGATGATAGGTGTGAGCCACTGTGCCCCACCTCATCTCACTTTCAGGAACTCTAATTGCATGTACATCAGGCCACTTGAAGTTGTGCCATAGCTCACTGATGCTCTGTTCATTTTTAAAAATAATTTTTCTGCCTCTGTTTCATTTTGGGTAGTTTCTATTGCCATGTCTCTGGGTTCATTAATCTTTTCCTCTGCAGTATCTCTTCTGGCATTAATCCTACCCAGTGTATTTTGATCCCTGTCATTGTAGTTTTCATCTCTAGAAGCTTGATTTGGATTTTTTCTTCTACCTTCCATTTCTCTACTTTTGGAACATATGGAATACTATTACAAGGGCTGATTCAATGCTCTTGTCTGCTCATTCTCACCTCTCTGTCAGTTCTTTCTCAGTTTGGATGGACTCATCTTTCTCCTCCTTCTGCATGATATTTTCCTTCTTTGCACGTCTGATCATTTTTTATTGAGTGCCAGACATGATCAATTTTACCTTCTTTTTGGGTGCTGGATATTTTTGTGTGCCCATAAAGAATTGCGAACTTTGGCCGGGCGCGGTGGCTCAAGCCTGTAATCCCAGCACTTTGGGAGGCCGAGGCGGGTGGATCACGAAGTCAGGAGATCGAGACCATCCTGGCTAACATGGTGAAACCCCGTCTCTACTAAAAATACAAAAAACTAGCCGGGCGTGGTGTGTCCCAGCCTACTCGGAGGCTGAAGGCCGGTGAGAATGGCGTGAACCTGGGAGGCGGAGCTTGCAGTGAGCCGAGATCGCGCCACTCCAGCCTGGGTGACACAGCGCGAGACTCCGTCTCAAAAAAAAAAAAAAAAACAAAAAAAAAGAATTGCGAACTTTGTTATGGGATGCAATTATATTACTTGAAACAGTTTGATCCTTCCAGATCTTGCTTTTAAGATTTGGCGGCAGCACCAGAGCAGGGGTTGCCCTGGATGAATTATTCCTCACTGCGAAGCAGCGGCTTTGAAGATCGCACTCAATGCCCTGTGCATCGTGAGTGAGCTTTCCCAGCCTGACTGGTGGGGACATATGCAGTCCTGTGTGAGACACAGGCACCGTTTTCTCTAGTCATTTGGTGTGGCTCTTTCCCAGACTCAGGGAGTTTCCTGCCTCACGTGTGCTGGCTGTGGTCTGCTGAGCACTTGAGGGGACCCTTCGTGTTCTCCACGGCTCTTTGTCCATGCAGCCTTCTCCTCTCTGATTCCCTGTCCTGTGGACTCTGCTCCTGGGTCTCCCCAGAATCCTAGCTTTGTCTCCCCAATTCAGGGATCCTACTGGGCTCTACCTGGGTTTCCCTCTGTATTAGTCAGCCCAGACTGTCATACAAAACACCACAGACTGTGCGGATTTAACAGCAGAAACTCTTTCTCACTGGTCAGGAGGCTTGAAGCCTGAGATCAGGGTGCCGGCAAGTCCAGTTTCTGATGAGGGCTCTCTTCCCGGCTTGTAGATGGCCGCCTTCTTGCTGTGTCCTCCCATGGCCTCTCCTCTGTGCTTCTGTGGAGTGCACTCCAGTGCCTCTTCCTCTGGTAAGGACAGCAGTCCCATCAGATCAGGGCCCCCTCTGACCTCCTTCAGCCTTAATGAATTACCTCCTTACAGGCCCTGTCTCCAAATACAGTCACACTGCAGTCTAGCGCTGCTTCTTCAAGTGAATTTGTAGGGGACAGACTTCAGTTCACAGCACCCCTCCTGTGCCCACAGTCTGGAAGCATCGAAGGCAGTATGCTGGGGGCAGTCACAGGAGCCACGTTCTTTGTTTCCTGCATCTCAGAAGTCATTGCCCTTCATTGCTTGATGTCCAGTGTCCTGAAAGCTGTTGTTTCGTCGTTTGGTTTTCTGGTTTTTTCAGGTGAGAGAGTGTATTCCAGAGGCTGCTTTTTGAAATGATACCCAGGCTGCGAGCATTTCCTCTGTGTATGTGTGAATTTTGGTTTGTCTGTTATTTTGTTTTTAAGGCAATACCTTCCCCATTGAAAGCAAAACCTATGTAAAGCAAAACTTACGAAGATATGCCAGAGATTTGCTTCACTTTCACAGAATCAAGGGCAAATAACCAGGTTACAGAGTCTTTAGGGTCAGGTGAAATTTAGCCTGTGTTCCAGCGGAGGCCAGACGGCGTTCAGCATCCCCGCACGTCCTTGGGGTGCCAAATCACTTTGACGTCTGCTGATTGATTTCGAATTGCACAAATATATAGCATTCAAAGCCATGGCCTACAGGGGCAGTGTGAGATATATTCAAGGTGGGTTGACTTTTAATCAATACGATGACAATATTATCTTGTTTAATTTGTATGATGGTGGTTTTAAACATCAAATCAAGCCATTTATTACGTCAAAAAAAGATGAAGGAGCCCAGGAATAAAACTCTCCTGACATCACTTCTGAGCATATTTCACTGCCGTGACAGGCCGTCATGATTGGGGACGATATCGTGGGCGACGTCGGCGGTGCCCAGCGGTGTGGAATGAGAGCGCTGCAGGTGCGGACTGGGAAGTTCAGGTCAGTGCCAGCGGGAGTCATTTATCCACCTTCCTTCCAGGGGATGACTGTGTTCTCATTCTGTTTTGTTCTTCAAAGTAAAGGGGGTATTCTTTCCAAATCAAAGAGCAGTATGTGGGCATTCACTGTCTTGTATGTAATGGACCTCTGAGAACAGAGCTGGGTGGTCTCTTATAGCAGACAGTGATAACGTAGAGTGCCTTTTGATACAGGGTCTGGGTTTTGAAACGGTGTGCAGTGCAGAGAGAAATAAGCAAAGGCACTGTCCATCCTGGCGGCGGCCCACCAGGGAGTTGGGCCAAATTTGTGCTGCTGTCCCTTCGGCAATTTGATCAGACCCTGCACTGTGGCAGTTACAGCTGTGGGCACTCAGCCCCTTGGACAGCCTCCGTCTCCTTTTGTTCACCTTCTCCACTCTGTGAGACACAGACAGCCTGGAGACGACAGAGGGTTGCTCAGGGATGCCCTGGAACAAACCTCCATCTCGAGAAGAAGCTTGTGTTTTATTTGCTGGCAAAAGTCTGCCTGGTCGGAGCAGCTGTCAGGGGTTGGGAGCTCCCGGGCATGTGGAGGGCCCTGTGGTGCCTGAGCTCCAGCTCACCTGGTCATCGAGAGGATCTGGGACATCAGAGTGTTGCCTTGCCTTATGCTAGGTGGTTTCTGTTGTGGCCATTCAGAGAATGCACATCTTTTCTGATGCTGGGGAGACTTGGTTGAAACATGGTTACCTGGGGGTACTTGGATTTGGGGTGGGGTGGGAGCAATTATATTCGTCCTGAGAGATCTGCCTAGGCAGGACCAGAGAAGACAGATCAGAGGGACTGACCATCACGCTGAGGTCTCTCCTGCAGGTTGGGGACCGTGGCTGAGTGCTAGGTGAGTGAGGAATGCTCGGCGTACCTGGGTCTATGGTCAGGAAGTTGGTCCCTTCCAGCTACCTCCCAGACCCTCCCAGGCTTGGGGGCCCCCATGGAGCCCCCGACATGTATGACATATGGGCCTTCTTTCTTTCTTGAAGTTGGGTTTTGTGGCTCCCCTTGGTTAGGCCTGGCCTAAGGGAGTGAGGGAGACCCCACTCACAAGCCACAGGAACATTTTTTCTAAGAGACCAGCCAGGGGTTCCCCAGTCCCCAGTCCTGCCTTTCCTATAAAGGTCACAGAGGCTGGTCCTGCTGCTGCTCCCAGGTGAGGGGCTGTCGGCTGACAGTGGACCTTGGGGCCCTACAATTGATGCCAGGCGCTGCCTGGCATCAGCCATCAGGAGCCCAGCCCAGCACCTCGTGCATCTCAGGGCACATCTGTGACCCGTGAGCACAGGTGGCGCCTCCCTGCTTGGGAACACAGCGGTGTGACTTGGCAGGAAGTGGAGGGGGAGAACCGTACCTGTTGTATATTGGGCTTCTGGTTCCTTGGAGGAGAAACATGTTTGTCCTGAATGCCAGCTCAGCTGGGGTCTTTCTGGCCAGCCCAGGCCAGGTGCCCCTATAAACTGATAATGGGCCTCTGAGGAAGGCCCCTCACAGCCCACAAATGCAGGCGGGCATGAGGGAGGCTGTGCCCACCCTATGCCAGCAAGGGTTGGTTCTTTTCAGATTCCGGTTACCTGCATGCCATTTAAAGAAGAGTATGAGGTGGACTTTCCCCCATGACACTGTCTCCCGGAGAGAGATAAACTGTTTTGTTTTGTTTTGAGACAGAGTCTCACTCTGTTGCCCACGCTGGAGTACAGAGGTGCAATCTCAGCTCACTGCAACCTCCGCCTCCCAAGCTAAAGTGATCCTCCTGCCTCAGCCTCCTGAGTAGCTGGTGCTACAGGTGTGTACCACCATGCCTGCCTAATTTTTGTATTTCTAGTAGAGACGGGGTTTCACCATGTTGGCCAGGCTGGTCTCGAACTCCTGACCTCAGGTGAACCACCCGCCTCTTCCTCTGAAAGTGCCGGGTTGATAGGCGCGAGCCACCGCGCCTGGCCCCAGGGAGAGAAATTCCGTCAATAGTTTGCCAAATCCTTCTGCATCGCCTTCTCTGCATGGATCAACAGACTGGTAATATTTTGGTTTTTTTCTTTTTACAAAAATGTGATGATACTGTTTTGCAGCCTCCTTTTTCCTTGAATACTGTTTTATGGCCTCTTTCTACAAGCGTCTTCATAATGGTGTTTTTGGTAATTTTTAAAATTTCAGTAGTTTTGGGGGAACAGGTGGTTTTTGGTTACATGAATAAGTTCTTTAGTGGTGATTTCTGAGATTTTGATGCACCCATCACCCAAGCAGGGTACACTGTACCCAGCGTGTAGTCTTTTATTTCTCACCTACCTCCCACCCTTCCCCGCAAGCCCGCAAAGTCCATTGTATCATTTTTATGCCTTTGCATCCTCATAACTTAACTCCCACTTGTAAGTGAGAACATACAGTGTTTGGTTTTCCAGTCCTGAGTTACCTCCATTCCTTGAGGTCTCCAGCTCCATCCAGGTTGCTGTTAATGCCATTATTTCGTTGCTTTTTATGGCTGAGTAGTATTCCATGGCGTATATATACCACATTTTCTTTCTTTCTTTTTTTTTTTTTTTTTTGAGATGGAGTCTCACTCTGTCGCCCAGGCTGGAGTGCAGTGGCGCGATCTCGGCTCACTGCAACCTCCGCCTCCCAGGTTCACGCCATTCTCCTGCCTCAGCCTCCCAAGTAGCTGGGACTACAGGCGCCCGCCACCGCGCCCAGCTAATTTTTTGTATTTTCAGTAGAGACGGGGTTTCACCGTGTTAGCCAGGATGGTCTTGATCTCCTGACCCCGTGATCCACCCACCTTGGCCTCCCAAAGTGTTGGGATTACAGGTGTGAGCCACTGTGCCCAGCCTCTTTCTTTTTTTTTTTTTTAACTTTTAAGTTCAGGGGTACATGTGCAGGTTCATTACATAGGTAAACATGTATCATGGGGGTTTATTGTACAGATTATTTCATCACCCAGATATTAAACCTAGTACCCATTAGTTATTTTTCCTAATCCTCTCCCTCCTTCCCTCTCCACCCTCCAGCAGGCCCCAGTGTGTGTGTTGTCCTGTGTATCCATGTGTTCAGATGCTGTAGGAAAGGAATCAGTGTAGTTCTGGGCACACAGCAAGCCCTCAGCAAATGGCCAGGGTAGGGAGCACATGCAGCCACTACCGTCTATATCTATCCATATCCATCCGTATCTGTCCATATCCACCTAGCTCCAGACACGGAGTCACCTGCCTCTGTTGAAGAGAATGGGACTTAACCCGTTTGTTCCTAACAAGATTTGAAATGTCGGATCTTTTGATTTGTTTGTAAGGATGCAAATCTCTCTTTGTTAACATGCAGGACAAAGGGAGAAGAGCGTTAGCTTGGCTAAGGTGGGGACCCAGCCACTGGGGGAGGCCACACGGGCATCAAAGGAGGTGGGGCTCTGCGTGTGTGGGTGCGCCCTGGTTAAAGGGATGGGAGGTCTCCCAGCCTCTGGAGCTGCGCTGTCACACGCAGGAGCTGCGAGCCGCAGGGGTGACTTGTAGCTCGTCCACAGTGAGACGCACAGTAAGTGTGAAATGCACACTGGATTTCAGAGACTGGGTGGGGAGAAAGGATTGTTAAAGAGCTCATGAGTTTTTTTTTTATATCGGCTACATGTTGAAATGCTGATATTTTGTGTTAATTTCACCCGTTTATTTAAATTTTTGTTAACGTGGCTACTAGAAAAGGTTCACCGGCCTCTGCAGGAGTGTTGGTGGCCCCAGGGGGCAGCTGCCCTCCTCCTGCACTGTCCCCTTCTCCCTCCAGATGGTACTCTCGGTGCACAGATACACTGAAGTGCTGGAGGGGCGTGGGGTCCTGGATGAGCCGGGCTGCGGACCCTGATGGGGTCTCGCTCTCTGGAGGGCCGTGCTGGGCCTGGAAGGGCCTGCGTGGTGCTCCCTGCGGACGTGTGGCCGGCCCGGGGCCGGCAAACAGCCTCTGGAGTCAGCCGGGCACCTGCCACTGGGCCGGCATCCCTTGCTTCCAGGAAACGCCCCCAGCCAGGCTCTATCGAGCAGCACTTCGCCCTTCCAGGGCACCCCAGCCCTCTGGCACCTCAGCACGGCCCTGTTCTGCACAGAGGTGAGCCCCTTAGGGGCAGCAGCTGTGTCTCCTCTGCAGCCGAGGCATGTTGTCGCAACCCTTTGCTGAGCCTCTCCTCTCCTGTGAGTGGCCCAAAGAGGCCTCACGGGAGCCAGTGACCACTGGATGGGTCAGCTGGGCATCAGAAGCCCTTCCAGGCTCTGTCCTTTGTTGGTGGCCTTGGCCTAGCCTTGGCTGAAATGGGAGAGTGAAGGGGGGAGGGGGGTGGCCTTGTCCTGGGCCCAGGTGACAGACAGCCCTGCAGTGAGTAACTGTGCCCACACTTGGTTTGAGGCCAGGGCAGGATGGGGAGGCCGTCCAGGCTGGAGCAGCTGGCGGGCGGGGGCAGCGGTCAGTCCTGCCAGTCACCGGCACCAGGGAGGGAGGGAAGCTGGAGGGCTGACTGAGGCCTCCCACTGGTCCTGCTGCAGGACGTGCCCTCAGCCACGGTCTTCTGGTACGGAGCACGCACACGTGCATTCACTTACATGTACACACACGTACACACACACACGATTGTGTTTCTGAGGCAGCTGTCGGGAGTCTGAGAGGCCGAGAGGTGGCTGAGGAGTGGGATTCGGCCGCTCACTGGCAGTGAGATCTCCTTGTCACCTTGGATGTATCCATTTCTCTTAATTTCATTATAAAATGGCCCAAAGAGAGTGAAGCCTCAGGGTTGGGAGAGACTGCGGGTGGCTTAGCTCCGGAGGGAAAGTTTTGCAGGGCCTGCTCCCCGGGAAAGCATCATCCCTGGGCAGCGGGGTCCGGAACTTGGCCCAGCAGGGCTGCCCAAGAGCCCTGGACAGGGAAGCACAAAGCTTTCTTTTCATACCTGCTCCGTGTGGAAATCCTGCCCAGCCAGGGTGTGGCCCTCACCTGGGTGGCAGGTAA